GAAGCTTGAATAATGAGTTGAAGTCTAGCATTACCTCGTCGTCGACCCTAGCCGACCATAGTCAACCAACAGTCATTGATCGTTGTTGACCACCAATCATCAACCACCACCGATTACAGTCACCGACCATCACCGACCACTACTCGCAGGCTGTCATCGATCAACATCAACCGCCACTCACTTCTTATGACAAGTTTATCAGCGCACTGACCTTGTAGCTTAAAAGATTGTGTTACACTTTTGTCGTCTATGAGACAAGTGACCATACTTGTAATCTCCAGTTTTTAGTAGATTTTTTCATCTGGGTCAGACTCTGTAGTTTTTTTCTTTTACAGATTTTCTACTTAAAACTTCATGTATTTCTGCTTGTTGTTTTCTTTAATCTTAGTGTATGTTGAATTCTCGTGCAACGCTAAGACAATTTATTAATCTACCTCCGCAAATTTTCTAGCATGCATCACTTGTCATTGAAAAAAAAAATCAAATATAAATAATTCACAAAATAGATTGTTTTGAAAATATATTATAAAATAAATATAAGAAGTTACAAAATTAATATAATTGCATAATTCTTATGTATTTAAATTTACCAGCTGAAAGTTTGATATTTATATTTTTAATATTTTTGTGTCATAGAATTATACATGAAATAATATAATTCATTCAAGAAAATAATAATTACATATTTTTGATGCGTTGTAAAAATTTTAATAGCAAGCATATAAATATGAAATTTTAAGCGTTTAGAAATGTAATTACGAAAGAATCATGCTTAGGACGATTAAATTACGGTTTATTTGACGTAGCAAAATGATTGTCGGTATTTTAATTATCTACTGCATTACTGACAACTTTCTAACACCGACAATATACTGAAGAACATTTGTTGTTGTTGGTTCAAATTCACATCATTGTTATGTCTTCAGTTCTATCTATAATATCACCAAGGCCTTTATCCATCGTCAAAGTGTAGCACGAACGTCAGAAAAGTGTCGCGCTTTCGCCGGAAAAATGTCGCACAATCGTCAATTAGCCGTGGGTAATTACAGATGTCATTAACTATGGAAAAAGTATGGCGCCTTAAAAAGACGCCTTGGATAATCCGTCGAGCAATTGTCGAAGCTCATCCAGAATTTTGGAAGCCGTCGAAAAATTGTAGCATCATAAAAATAGATAAATCTCCTCCTTCAACACTGCAAATTACAAACTTGTAATTATAAGACAACAATTTGCACACAACACAACACAGAGTACCAATCGAAGTAGTTATTAAACTAATATCACGTTAGTAATAAAAGCAGAAATCATAGACAAAAATAAAAAACAAACAATTGAATTAAATCAAATAGAATGAATTGTTGTCCATAAAAAATATTGTTCACTGCCAATAAATTGCTTTACACAAACAAACAAAAATAACTCCATGCTCATTCTCGTTTGTTCTCTCCTCATCATCATCCTCGCCATCATCATCCTAAACTAGCTGCTTTGATCTCCGCAGTTCATAGTGCAACATCACTTCGATCTCTGGCTCATCTTCAGCTCCTTCTCAGATCTTATTTAGCCTAATTGGGTAGAGACCTAAGCAGCAACCTGACAACGAATCTCCTCCTCTTGTGCAGTAGACCTCGATGCGCCGGATGTGCTAGAGGTCGGACAAGCATCATAGGCTGGCGCCTGAGACCCTAGCCTATAGACCCTGTCCTTCTTCTTGTCGCCGACAGCATTCCTTCATAAGTCATAATCAGAAGGATCATGAACTGTGGACGAACCACTGCTCGAATGTTGGGATCGACTCTCATTCAGTCTTTGCAACGCCTCCTACAAAAAAATATGATTAATAAAAGTTAGAGACCAAATAAAGTTTGATAGTTAATTGAATTGTATACTAATTAATCTTGTGAATTACATAGGTCGCTTGGGTTCTTTTGTCCACTCAACTGATCCAACAACCACTTGTGAGTGCACCTGTGTAACTCTACAACGGATGGATCTTGTCCTTTCTCTAGAGTCTGTTAGTGTAATGAAACAAATAACACACGTTTAATATAAAATAAGAATTAATGCAGAAAGTAGGCATTTTTAGCCTCCTCTTATACTATGTATGCTTCGAGGCCCCTATGCCTACGCAGTCAGAGCGATGATTATTGTACTTTGCGTGCTCTCTCTCTTCTTCCAGTAAGAGGTAAATAAGTTATTAAAACTTAACAAAATAAAGAAACTTAATTGAACTTGGAAACTAATTATTTTTGCTTTTAATCCTTTTAGGTGCTATTTGGCTACTAGCATTAAAATGAATTCTAGAACTTTAAATTCAATGTAAAATAGTGATGTATTTAAAATCACACCTCAGTTAGTTTTCTCTAATTTTAAATTATGGCCAATTTGGCCAAATTCTAAAAACTCAGCTTAGGGTGCGTTTGGGGCAGCTTGTGTGTTTCAGGATTAGCAACTTATTCTGAAATGCGGCCCGGGTCGACCGTGGGGTTCGACCCACGACCTGCTTTTAGTGTAAAATTGGAACCACATTTTCGGATAAGTGGGAAAAATGCGCGAACCAAACAGTACCGCGACATTTTCAAAAACACCTCTGCATTTATAAGCTGCCCCAAACGGACCCTTAGTGTAAAATGCTACGCTGGCCAGTAACTGCCGCCACGACAAACCGAGATGCGCGCCCTGTAGTCCCTTTTTTTTATTATATGTAGCCTTATTATTAATATATATTATTATAAATATTATTATTATTTATTCTATACATAAAAAAATACTAAAATTAATTTATATATTAATTAACAGATTGCAATTAATTTTAGTTAATTAAAAAATAAAATTGAACAAATTAAATAAACTAAGAAATTTTGAATTTGTAAAATTTATTCCATGTTGAAATATTTATAAGATGAAACAAATCAAATCAATTGAATAAATTAAATAAAGTAACAATAATATTTAAGAAAAAAAATATTATCTTCTATGTTAGGGTGGATTAGCGTTTGAGTCAGGCGTTTATTGAGACAGTGGTCGCAGTGATCGATGACACAACTGATATTATTGTAGTTCTTCTTTAATATCATCACTCTCAATTATGTCAATCGTAACATCTTGTAGTATCCCGTAAATTTATTTCATCTGGATTTGGCGGAGAGTATAATTGTGGTGTACCGAAATCCATGTTGTTGATTATAGACATTTGATCGGCCTGATCAAAATGATTTAAAGTTGGGTCATCTCATAGCACAGATACCATAAGGCCCCCACAGATCAACCTTTGATGCTTCTCTTCAGTCATCTTCCTCTATTGCGATGCATTTGACAACAGATGCTCCGAGGAGATCTACTACCAGAACACAAAAATCTTCATTTCAAGAAGTACAAAAACAACAACATCCAGAGACATTTATTTATACTGCCCAATGAGTATTTGCGGGACACTTTTAGTTATGCAGGACCCTTTAAATATACAATATCATTAGTATATAAAGTTTCATCATTTGACTTGCAGTGGGTCCACGTCTATTTTTGATGTAGGCAAGAATTTTGAAAAATCATAATTTTATTCTCCATCAAATTTTATTGAACAAATTTATTAGACGCCGCCAGATGTCATATATAGAATAAAAAATAATAATATTTAACACATTATAAATACATGAAACGTAACATCAAGTGCCAAAAACCAACACGCAACTCTAATTATTCATGTTGAATTTTTGTGCCTTCCATCTAAAAATCACTTTCCGGTTGACAATTTAAGATGCGGGACAAAAGAAACATATAGAACGTTTATAGCCAAAGTTTAGTGGATTTATATATGAAAAATTTACATGCATGCCACTCAATTTCTCTGTATTTACATATATAACACTAAAATTTCAATTTTTACGTATGTTTTGCGCATCTTTTTCTACATATGAAAATGTATATTTCACTTTAAAATTTAAATTAAGAATAAATGTAATAATTATGTTTAAGTCAGTGGTACTTAAATACATAAGAATTGAGTGGTACATACATACATACAGACATACATGTATATAGATACATATATATATATAGATAGATATGTATATATATAGATAGATATGTATATATATATATATATAGTGTGTGTGTGTGTGTGTGTGTGAAGGCCCCATTAATTTTAATTTTTTATATATTTTAATAGCATTTATTTTTAAGAGAAGATGTGAAAATGTTTCGTTAACGAGCACATATTAATTTTTGAAACGTAGACGTTTAATTTTGGAAATTTCCTTTTTAGTTGGTTTTTTTAATTAAATTATAAGTATTTAATTAATAATATAAAAATTTAGTTAATTTTTAAATTTAAATTTTAAGAGTATTATATTTTTGATTGAATTTTAATTTGATATCGAATTTTACAATTTTGTTTGTGAGCTTCTTTTTAATTATATAGAATATTAATTTCTAATAATTTTATTAAATTTGTATTTGTAGTAGATGATATACAGAATATTAATGAATACTAAAATACGTATTTTATTATATTTAAAAATTTATATAAAATCATTTAAATGCATAGATAATGTGTAAATATTGAAGAAAATTACTATAAATTTTATAATAAAATATCATAATATTAAGATGTTTAATGCTTACATAAAATAAAAAAAATCTTCATAAATTTTTACTCTAATTTTTCAGAATATTTTAATATAATTTTTAGCTATATTTGATTAATTTTAAATTTTATAAAATAAATTAATAAACATAGAACCATTAATTTAATAATTTTTTGGAGATTATAAGATAAATTAATAAATCAAAAAATATATTATATTATGTATCTTTTCTTATTAAAATTATTAAAATATACAACTAAGACATATCGTATACAATTAAAAAGTTTTCCTTAAAAAGATATTACTTTTTATCTTATCTAGAGAATTTATTTAATTTATTTTAAAAAACAAAAATTAATTATTTTTTTTTATCCCTTTTTAAATACCGATTCCGCCCTGCTGCAAGTCGAAACGATGGGATCCGACTCGAATCAGGTTCCCAAAATCCCTAAAATCGACCTCACCGGTCTACACCCATCCAACCCCGGCGGCGAGCGCTGGCGAGCTGCGAAGGCCGAAGTTGCGGAGGCTCTGTTCTCTCACGGATGCTTTGAGGCAACTTTCCCCTCCCTCTCGCCGGAGCTCCGGCAGGCGATGTTTGGCAGCTGCATGCAGGAGATCTTCGCTCTTCCTTTGGAGACCAAGCACCGTCTGAAGACCCAACAACCCTACCAAGGCTACATCGGCCAGATACCTCACCTGGCCTACGAAAGCCTCGCATTCGACGATGCCCTCTCGCCGGCGGCCGCGGAGGATTTCACCCAGCTTATGTGGCCGGAAGGAAATAACAGCTTCCGGTAAGGTGTTTCATTTTTTGCTTCTGCTGCTGTTTATGAATTTTCTTACTTCTTGATGATCAGGAAGACGGTGATGGAATTTGCGAGAACTCTGCATGAGCTGGTGGAGATTGTGCAGAGGATGATGGTGGAGAGCTTGGGGGTGGAGAAGCACTATGATTCTCTGGTGAGCTCAATCACATATGGAGTTCGGATGTCGGAGTACGGTATTCCATTAAACCAGGAAACGAAGATCAGTTTGGATGCTCATAAGGACCCGAATCTGATCACGGTGGTTTGCCAGAGCGAGATTGATGGGTTGGAGGTTGAAAATTTTGATGGAGATTGGGTTCGCGTCGATGCATCTCCAAACTCAGTCACTGTTCTAGTTGGCCTGTCCTTTCAGGTGATGGAAAATAATAATAATAATAATTATTATTATTATTATTATGGAGGGTTGAGATGCAAACCCTAAACCCTAATACACTCTTAATAATCCCGTAATAATTTCACTTTGTGGTTATTAGGGGTTATTAGGAGAATATTAAGGTGACTTATGATCCTAATAATCTTTCAATTCTATTTTAATGTTATTCATAGATTATTATGGGATATTACGCACACAGCTGTGAGTGCGGGAATATGCATCGACTTGTATTCAAAATTTACATACATAATTCATATGTATTTATATATTTAATATTTAAAAGTTTGATATTTATATTTATAAAGTTTGATATTTATACTTATAGGACTTTGATGCCCATAAATCATAAAAAAATTGTTTCATTTTTAAAAGATTAATAATAATGATATTTTTGATATAATATTATAGATTTGAGCGTTAGATTTGTAAATATATAATAATTGTGTGATATGTATGCAGATGGCCAATATTTTTAATAGCAGTATACATGCTCGCCAGTCTGTATATATTTACATATCAAACCCGTAAACTTTATTTTCTATATTTATACCACCCAAATCTCTTAAATTCATCTTTCTCACACATAATTAAATTTATGTATATATATAATATATATATATATATTTATATATATAAATATATAAAGAAAATCGATATTTGTCAGAAATCTAAATATCGATTTCTCATGCACAATCCGGCTTCATGATGAGAGCTCATGTCATGTGCCTAAAATTCGAACCCCCACGCACCACGGTAGGGATCGAACCCTTGCTAGAGGGGACTTACACTGACTCTGCCTAACAATTGGACAAGGAATGCGACACATATATACAGACATACGTACATGCATATATAAAAATTAAGTTTTATGTGTCCAAATCTACCTTTTTATATTATTGCCATCATAGTTTCACCATCATCATCTCATATTCTTATTTGTATTAAATATTTCGTTTGAATTATTCTCCAGATGTTATAGCTATTGTTTGTGAATAATTTTCTGTAGGCATGGAGTAATATGAGAGTGCGAGCCCCAACGCACCGTGTAAGGGTTCTGGGAAAGGAGAAGAGGTTTTCTGCACTGTTTTCTTCTCGGCCGAGCACCAACGCCATTGTTAAGAGTCCTGAAGAGCTTGGAGATGAGGACCATCCTCTGCTTTTTAAGCCTTTCAACTATACTGAATTGGTTAAGTTTCTCTACTCTGCAGAAGGAATGATGACCAAAGATGCTTTCAATGCTTATTGTAGAATAAGCAATGAAGAAGCTGTTTGAGATGTTTTATATTTATTAAGTAGTTTGTGAAGTTTTCATAAATATGTTTTATGTGGTGTTTATGATAATTGCTGAAGCTTTGGCTTGAAGGGAAGAAGTAAGGACAGCTTGTAATCTTACTTTCACTTGTTGATTGTGTTTTTATATGGTTGTGTCTTGCTTTTCTTCGTCGAAGTCTATTTATCGGACCAGAGATTTATTTATATTTCTAAATTGCTGAATTTTAATTTATCTGTGATTCACAAACAAGAAATAGAACATACATAAACAGAGATGAGGAGATGGAGAGAGTGTAAACAACAAATAATCTATTGCGATCAATTGTGTTTTATTTGTAAAATTATTATAAAATTTATAAAGAGAATGTACAAAATGATGATATTGTGTTTGTGTCCCCCATTTAGAGAGGTTAGTTGTTATGAAAAAAATGACGACAATAAAACGAAAAAACAGATCGAGAAAATTACACCAGAAAAATGCGACACAAAATTTACGTGTTTCGGCAAATTGCCTACGTCCACGGAGCTGCAGAGGATTTTATTAGCTTTGAGGATTACAGTGTCGACCACGTCGACTTACAAGAAAGAATTCTCTCTCTCTCTCTCTCTCTACTCGTCTTCTCTCTCTCTCTCCCCACAACTCTCTCCCCACAATTTCTCTCTATCTCTCTACCCGAGAGCAACCATAGCCAAAGGGAGTATGCAACAAAAGCTAATTATTGCAATTTTTCTTCATGCAGCGGAAGAGGTGGTTTTTGGAGAGAGCCAATTTAGTTTTGTGTTAATCCAATATTTAAAGAAGCATTAGCCCAATTAAGAAAGCCTTAATTCACGGAATTACAACAGAGAAGAAAGCAGGAACAAAGTTTGGCGGGATCCACTTATGGAGAGAAATCCTGGCAATACTTCACAAAGAGAACTAAATTAATTAGCAATTAATTTTTGATTATCTGTCATAAAAAGAGTTGATATAGCAAGAGGTGGACCAGGCTCCACCTACTCAACAAGTATTGATGTATTTTTGGTATTTTACATGCACTTCAATGTCATTAAGCCGCTTTTTTGGACCAGCCGACCATGCTTAACTGGCTTCAAGTTGGTTGGATCAACTTGGTCGCTAGAGCTTTGTCAGCATGAGCCAATAGGGTCAGCTGGGTCTACTGAGCTTAGTTGGCATGCATCGGTCGTCTGATACAGATTTTCAACCCTTTGTCCATGACGAGGAACTTCTATGGCATTCATTGGATGGTCGAGGATATTGTGGAACAGGTCATCCCTTAGAACAATTTCGCAAGAGGATTAGCCATCGCATCCAATCAGTTCTCCTGTAATAATTGGCTTGAATGTTTTCTCGCCTGACATCTATTCAAATGTTTTAAACTTGGGTCGTTTGGTCATCTTTTTGTTTGTCTCGTGGTTTGGTTGGTTTTGGCATTGTTGGCTTGGCTCATACAGCTTGGTTGGACAATAAATTTCATGATATGATAGTGAGCCCAACTTCACTGTAGTTTTCTTTTCTGGACATTTTGTTCTTCTCGGAATCCATGTTGACATATTTTTATGTACATGTTTTGGTTCTTCGATTCACTTATTTTTTTTAAATCAGCACTGCATTCAGAATAAGAGAAATTAATAATAATAAACCTTTAAAAAAGGAAGTTTAGGCTTTGTATTTGATATTGTTGACACTAATGTATAATGTCTACATAATTATTAAATATTGAGCTTGTTGACTTCTTTTTTTGGTAAACCATTTTCTATGGCATGTATTTAATTCAACATCATTTGAGCTAAATTCTAATTTAATAAAACTAAAATCTAACTAAAAAAGAATTGAAACCAATCAAACTAAAACAAACTCCAAATATAAACAATTTTAACCAAATCCTAAAATGAACCTAAAAGCAGCCTTAATAATCATAAACACCAAATTATTATTTTCTCTCCTGAGATTTTTGTAGGACTCAAAACTTTATTTTGAAATTTGAATGATTCTTATTGGTATATATAAATGTCATGCAAATAAGTTTGACAATAATTTATGGCAATTTTTACGTAAAGTTCTTTAATTTAAATTTTCATGCATGAATAGTGTTTTATTCGAATTCTAAAATTAGTGTTTTCTCCACATACCAATATGATGATTGAAATTACATTATATAAGTTGTGAAATCTTCATGATCACATATGGGGAGCACACAAACCAGTTTGGTGTTCACCCAACACAATTTTTATATAAAATTTTGCACTTAGGATTTTCATGCATGAAAAATGGTCTCACGTATAAAAATTTTAATAATCTATTATTTTGCAAAATGTACTACTCTATTACATGTGTATTATTGAAATATTTTGAATGAACCTCTCCATGCTCAAATATGGATCCATTTGGAGGACCGTTGAGCTAATGATAATATGGAGAGAGAAAAGTAATAATTTTAATAATAAGAAAAATAGTTGCAATAATTCACCTTGAAAGTAGCTCAAATGAAATTAGACTTCAACCAAACTTAATATAAATTACAAATACTTAATATGATCCATTAAAACCAACCAAAAACTCTAACTCAAAATCCACTAATTTTCTTTTATAAAATCTGGGCTCACTTTGACCTAAAGTATCTTGAGATGGAGCCCACTTCAACCAAAACCAATCGAACATTTTTTTTTTATCAAATGAGCTTAAATAATTTTTTTTTTCATAACCACTTTGCCACTTTAACTTGACATATCTTGGGCTAGAGGCATCCTTTTTAAAAACAAAGTAGACTAGTGAATTCCTTGCTTTGTTCTTTTAAAAATGAGGTTCACGTTGTATTTTTAGCATAACCACCCAATCTATTTTTAAATTTCTGTCCTTTTAACCACTCCCTTATTTATTTTTCCCTCAATTCGCTCTTAGCTTCCCCTTTGCTCAAACATAACCCTCACTTCCCTCGTTTCCCTATCATCCACCGAAGTCCCTCTACCGTTTTTCTCCTCTCCCCACTTTCTCCCTCTCCAAACCAAGA